ATAGAGACAGTAAGGGATTGTCTGGACTGGGTCAGAACCCTTTACAAAAATATTTTAGCTAAAATTACAGTGTAAGAAATGGTGGGTGATGTTTGATTTGTGAGTTGGCCAAGACAAACCCATCGGGAGATCCCCTTAATTAAGTTATTACTCATTTGTTTACATTTTGAAGTCTCCACTTCAAGTCATCTCTCTGCCTCTTTGTTTCCCAGCTTCCTCCTTCTTTATCACATCAGCTTAAGACAGCCAGGCATGAGAACCACTTACTCGTGCTGGCACAGGCCTGGCCAGGCAGCATGGCTCTTCAGCAGGCTTAAAGAGTAGGACAGCCACACCACCAAACTTTCGGGAACAGCCAAGCAGCTCAGACACAACCCCCACCTTCCTAAAGCAGCACCATGCTTAAGAGCTGGATTCAGCTGCAGGCTCCAGCACAGGAGCCTATCTCGCCTGCTAACAGGGATTTTCAGGGTTCCAGGTGCCACCCTGGCAGGGAAGTCCCACCTCGGGTGGGGACACACCTGCAGTGGGCAGATGACACCATAAGCAATAGTCTTTGCCCATGGTGCTATTAAACAAAAAGGCACTGCAGGAAACATTGCTGTGTGGAGATAAAGTGACAGGTGTACCACACTGCAGGTCTCAGGGCAGTCCAACCACATCCTTGCTAGTGTTTGAAACAACTCCCACCACAGACATCTGGGAGCAGCCTGCCTTCAAATATACTCTTTGTGGATGGTTATACTGAAGATGAAGACATGGAGGAGATCTGAAACCACCAAAGAGTACAATGGTTGCACTGGATCACCATCATACCTCTGTACACATCCTTTCCTGAACAGGTAGAGGTGGGATTTTTTTTTTTCCTAATTAATTCTTCAGTCTTCTGCTTACAGGTAGTTACCACATGTCATGAACAGCTAGCTGATTGTGGACTCCTGCTCCAGATCAACTTTCATTCTGATTTAAACACATTACATGTGACCACGTAATTGAATAATAGAAAGGCTTAAGTTGGAAGGGATCTTAAAGATCATCTTGTTCCAAGCCCCTGCCATGGGCAGGGATGCCACACACTGGCCCAGGTTGCTCAGAGCCCCATCCAGCCTGGCCTTGAACACTTCCAGGGATGGGGCAGCCACAGCTTCTCTGGGTACCCCCTGTGCCAGTGCCTCAGCATCCTTAGCGCAAAGAATTCCTTCCTAACATCTAATCTAAATCTCTGCTCTGTTAGTTTAAAACCAATCCCTGTTGCCCTATCACTATCTCTCCCTGCCTCTTTTCTATAAGCCTCTTTTAAGTGTTGGAAGGCTGCAACAAGGCCTCCCCAGAGCCTGCTCTTCTGCAGGCTGAACCACCCCAGCTGTCTCAGCCTGTCCTCATGGCTGAGGTGCTCCAGCTCCACCGAGCCCTCCTCTGGATCTGCTCCCACAGGCTGCCTTTCTTGCGCTGAGGAAGAGCCGGGCACAGCCCTCCAGGTGGGATGTCATGAGGGGAAAGGGGGCGAAACACCTCCCTTGACCTGCCAGCTGTCATTCTTCGGATGCAGCCCCGGACGTGTTTGGGTTTCTGGACTGGAAGTACACACTGCTGGCTCCTGTCCAGATTTTCACCCACAAGAATCCCCAGTCCTTCTCTGCAGGGCAGCTCCCAAAGAATTTATCTCCCAGTCTGTCCCCATCTCTGGGATCTCCCCGACCCAGGCGCATCGCCCTCAGACACCAGAGTTCGGGGCCACTTCCCACCCCTACGCAAAACCGCGTGTGGGAGTAAACAAGGCGAAGAAGCCGCAGGGACGGATTCCACCGCGCTGCAAATCCTCGCGTGAAATTCGCACCGTGTTTGGCCGGAGAACGCGGGGCTGCCCATGTCCGCGGCATTTTTAGGTCTCATAGGACCCACAGGTCCCGTTTCCCACACTGGCGGCGCCCCCGGCCCTGAGGGGGCGCGAGCGCTCCCGTCCCGCTCTGCCGCCGCCAGCGGGAGCCACGGCGCGCGCTCCCCGCGGCTCCGCCCGTGACGGGCTCTGGAAAGGCTGCACAGCCCGGCGGGCCGCACGAGTTCCGAGAACTGGAACGGCGAGGCTCCTTGGATTCGCCTTGAACCGTTTACACAAGGAACCGCGAACTATAAAATGCCATAAACGCGGGCCGAGAGGCGCAAGGGCGGAGGGGGCGGGGCCTCAACCCGACAGCCCCGCCCTTTTCCGCGTCACGTGACGAGCGGGCCGCAGCGATGGCGGCGCCGGGGCCGGACGCGCTGTGGGTGCGGGACCCGCTGGGGCCGCGGGCGCGGCCGCTGCCGCTGCCCCCCGGGGGCGGCTCCGTGCTCTGCCTCCGCCGCGACCGCGCCCGGGAGCTGGTGAGTGCCGGGGAGCCGGTGTGGGGCCCGCCGGCCTCGGGAGGCGCTGCGCTTCCGGTGTCGGCGGCGCTGCGCAGGCCGCCCGCGGCCTCTGCCCGCCGGGAGGCCGCGATGCCCAGCTGGGCGCACCTTGCTTTCGCTTAGCTGAGCAGCAGGGTTTGCTGTAAGAGAGCCCTGTAGCCTCTTATCTACGTTATATATATGTATGTGTGTGTGTTTATATGTTCATACACATTGTGGTGGGTTGATCCTGACAGGACTCCAGGCGCACCCCAAAGCCGCTCTCTCCTTCCTCTCCTCAGCTGGACAGGGGAGAGAAGATGTAACAAAAGGGGTCAAAGGTCGAGATAAGGACGGGGAGATCTCTCAGCAGTCACGGGCAAAACAGAGTTGACTTGGGGAAATGAATTTAATTTATTACCAGTCAAAATCAGGGTAGGATTATGAGAGGTAAAAGAAATCCTAAAAACACCTTCCCTCCTCCCCTCCCCCTTTCCCAGGCTCTATCTCCTTCCCACTAGTGGCACCGGAGGACAGGGAATGAAGGTTGTTGTCAGATCGTCACAGGTTGTTTCTGAATTTTTCCCATAGTACGATTTTTCCCCGTTCACGTTTGCAAGCTGATTTAGACTGTATTCAGTCCTTTGGTAACCAGGAATTAAAGCAAACACCACTAGAGAATGCTTTTCAGATTGTCTGATTTTTTTTTTTCCCCTCCTCTGGAAGGAAGAAAACACGACTGCTGAATTATTTTCTTTGTCAGAATGTTTCATTTTTTCTGGCTCAATGATCTGACTGAATTTTGCTGCATTTTTAGAACATCCCAGAAGAAAGCTTGTATGTGAAGTGTAATGGGCGACTGGTCAGCGATGAAGATGCGTTGCAGAGTGGAGTTGTTTATAGCCTGGAGCCAAGACTCTGTGCTGGAAAAGGAGGTTTGTTGTTTATTCTGCCTCTTAGTGATTAGATTCTTAGGTTAAAAAACTGCTGCTGGGCCGTAGTCTGTACTGATAGCAGGAGTCTCAGATGCTGGCAGATCTCTTGTTGTGTGTATCACTGATACAAAGTCTCTGAGCTAAAACCGAGGTGTTTGGGCAAAGCTGAGGATTGACCAGGGAAGTCCAGATCTTCCTCACATCCCTTTTCAGCTTATCTCTGTTAGTTGAAGTCTGTAGCATGCACCAAAGTGACTTCAGAGTTGAAATTGTGTTGAAAAGGACCTGTGATATAGGAGTCTCCTCGAGCCAGGTCTCTCTCATAAGCTCTTGGAGATCTATGTCACACCCAAGATAGCTCAGCTACCTTAGAAAGCGTAAAATCAGCAGGATGGCTTCTGTGGTAGTGTTGGAGACAAAAAAGTTTTAATAAAAGGCAAAATAACAGAACTCTTTACAGAGAGAAACCGAGCCAGGTGCAGGAGATCCTTGCCCCTGGTAAAACACCTCACAAAAGCAATTAGTTCCTTTCTTCTCTTCTTTTTCTAGTAAATTGCCCAGGTGGGACTTTCTGGCTCCTGTCCAACTGGCTATCCTTAACTTTGAGGTCAAGTCCCCCAGGTCCTATGAGGTGTCTTTTTACCTAATTTAAAAAAGAAATTTCTGGGCTTAATTCTTTTTAAAGGGGACAAAGGATAGTTTTGACACTCTGTCAACAGGGGGCTCATTTCTATAGACCTGTCATCTTAGACTACCAGGTTTCATTCAGTGGTCACTTAAGGCAAATATTTCAGGTACAAATAGTCTGTGATTTGAGTGTGTTATGTGACCTAACTGACTTTATCTTCTATTATTTTAAAAATATACATATAAATGCCAAGATCTCAGTAGCCAGAGAACTAAAGAATTCAACCTGAGCTGGATCCCTTACATTGACAAGATGTTTCTGTGTAGCTAATTCCTGTTTGCTTTGTTCCTCTGGAAGGGTTTGGGTCGATGCTGCGAGCCCTGGGTGCTCAGATTGAGAAGACAACAAACAGAGAGGCTTGTCGAGATCTCAGCGGAAGGAGACTGCGGGACGTCAATCACGAGAAAGCGTAAGGCATTTTCTCAGAAGCTGAAATCACAAAATAACCTGATCCTGTAGCTCTCTGTTAACAAAAGAGGTCAAGTGACTGCCTGTCGTAGCAATGAAATGGTGCTTTGAGTACTAAAAAGAGCAAAAGTGAAATATTAAGTGCAGATGGACCGGAAGCCAACAGGGCTTTCCTGAGTGTAATTCTATTATTGCAAAAATAGATGTGATTTTACTGCAGCCTGAATCTGAGAGGCTCTTCTGCCCCTCTTGGTGCAGAATTCACAATTCCTTGTGTGGAATTCTCACAGTTCTCTCTGAAGCTGCAAGACCGCAGTCCTGGGGATGTGTGAACTTAACTGCTGTTTCTGGCTTTCAGAATAAGCCCTGCTCTCCTCTCTGCAGCCGCGTCTCTGTCTCCTCAGTCACTCCGCTGGGTGCTGTTGTCTTTTCCCTTTGCGTCCCAGCCCAGCAGGGGTGGGAGCGTTCTGTAGTGCAGAGCAGGGAGCTGCTGTTCCCGCTGTGAGCGCTGATGAGGGCCTTGTGTCGCCGCAGGATGGCGGAGTGGGTGAAGAAGCAGGCGGAGCGGGAGGCGGAGAAGGAGCAGCGGCGGCTGGAGAGGCTGCAGCGGAAGCTGGCGGAGCCGCGGCACACCTTCACCGACCCCGAGTACGAGCGGCAGTACCGCGAGATGGCCGAGCGCCAGGAGGAGTCCCTGCGCATCGGTACGGCTTCATCTAGCCTCGCTCCAGCAGGAAAATCTAAAAAATAATTGGGTTTTTTCAGTTAAATGAAATCTTAAATTTCAGCGAAATTTACTTGATTTTTTTTCCTCTTTGTCTGCCGTGTCTGTTAAATTCCACTGGGCTACATGACACAATACAAATGCTTCATCTTGCTTAGCTAGGTCACCTCCTAATAAGATCCAGACTCTGTGAGGGTGTTGTTGCTAGTTGAGCTCTAAGAGTTACACAGTGAAACTATAAAGGGGTTGTACATAAAAACTAGATATTGAATCCAACTGCCAAATACCTTGTTTCACTTCCTGGTCTTTGTAGTTACTTTGTTTATCCCTACATTGTTGTCAGCTAGATAGTGAAACTTGAGGCTGAATGAGATGAAGAACCTAATAGTTCAGTTCAGGAATCCAATTTTAATTGACTCTTAGTAAATCCATGTAGGAAAGCTTTTGCTGCTATTCAGTTTATGTTCAAGCTTTGAGTCTGTGTCACCAATAGTGATTATTTCCATTAGTGTTTTAAATTGCATCTGAAGTGAAAGTAAAGTAGAATTTACAACAGACATTAATTGTGTCCTGATGAAGTTCACTTTCAAATTTGTTTTGAAGGCTTGCAGGTTATTGCCAGCAAAGCAGTGTCATCAGAAAGTGGAAAGAGTCGGAAGCGACCAGGAGAGCCTGGAAAGAGCGAAACAAAATCTGAAAAAAGAAAATGTCCTTGGTAAGAGTTATACCTGGTTTTTATACTCCAGCCTTAAGCCTTAGAAAGGATATAAAGTTAGATACATACAAGTAAACAGAGTCTAGTCTGAGATGTAGACTGAAATAGAAATGAGAAAACTGAACTGATTAAATCAAAGAACTGAAAGTAAACATTTCTGCATTACTATAATTCTGTCCCAGATGGAGCAGACAAACTTCATTTGCAAAAATAGGCACTTTTTCCCCCTATCCCTTCTAAGTGATTATATTCTACTACTTCCTATTATCCTTTTCTTCATAAATTAATTATAATTTACAATGAACTTTAAAAAGATTGGTTTTCTCCCCTGGCATCTTTCATTTAATGTAACATGGAAAAGAAGTCGAAGATTCCAGTCATTTCTGTATTGGGAATGCTGTAATACCTGTTTTGGGCATTTGTAGCTCCTTTTCAGTGTTGATAGCTCTTCCATTAACTAAACTAACCTAAATAGCTGTTAGAGTGACTCCTTATATCTCTCTGAAGAGGGTTTTAGAAAGAGAAATGTAGCAATTAAAAAAAATTATTTAAAAGAAAAAAGATAGATGCATGTTAATTTGTAACATGTTCCCTGTGCCAGGCCAGGATTGGATGAGGCCACAGGCTCAGGCTGTGAGGATGACAATAAGGATGACTCCCCTTGTACATCTGACAGAAGTTGTCCATCAGGCAGCAGTGCTAATGGAAGTGTTGGAAATTCAGATGAGTGTTCAAGCAGCTCTGTGGCTTCAGCAGAGGACAGTCCACCTGCCAGTGCAAGTGAGAAACCACTGGAGGAGCCAGAAGCTCCTGGAAAAGATCTGCAAGGAGAGGTGTGCACAGGTGGGCAGGCTGAAATTCTGTCTGAAGAAAACAGTAAAATGACAGAGGCCCCAGAGGAAGACACCCAAGGAAAGAATGGAGTGACTCAAGCTCAGAAAGAAGAGCAAGAAAATGTTCCTGCTAAGGCACAGGACACAAACCAGGTACAGAGCCCAGTAAGTATGAAGCAGGACAAAATGTGGTGTGTCTTCAGCTGCTTTTAGAGCTGAAGAAGCAAACAAGCTCTAGCACTGTAGCTTTTCCCACTGGACTGATGAGAGCCCAACTGATACTTGGCAGCAAAAGGTGCCAATACTTCTGCTTTATGGGTCCTTGCCTAAAATTGCTGTTAAAGATTTGTGGGGGTAATGAATCTGGGTTTACTCTAGCAATAATAAAAAAAGAGTGTAGCTCTTTTTTTCAGGCTGGGGAGTTACTGGGATTTTTCTGCCTTTTTTCACCTTGGGTGGCCACAGGCTCAGGCTGTGAGGATGACAATAAGGATGACTCCCCTTGTACATCTGACAGAAGTTGTCCATCAGGCAGCAGTGCTAATGGAAGTGTTGGAAATTCAGATGAGTGTTCAAGCAGCTCTGTGGCTTCAGCAGAGGACAGTCCACCTGCCAGTGCAAGTGAGAAACCACTGGAGGAGCCAGAAGCTCCTGGAAAAGATCTGCAAGGAGAGGTGTGCACAGGTGGGCAGGCTGAAATTCTGTCTGAAGAAAACAGTAAAATGACAGAGGCCCCAGAGGAAGACACCCAAGGAAAGAATGGAGTGACTCAAGCTCAGAAAGAAGAGCAAGAAAATGTTCCTGCTAAGGCACAGGACACAAACCAGGTACAGAGCCCAGTAAGTATGAAGCAGGACAAAATGTGGTGTGTCTTCAGCTGCTTTTAGAGCTGAAGAAGCAAACAAGCTCCAGCTTTCCCACTGGACTGATGAGAGCCCAACTGATACTTGGCAGCAAAAGGTGCCAATACTTCTGCTTTATGGGTCCTTGCCTAATATTGCTGTTAAAGATTTGTGGGGATAATGAATCTGGGTTTACTCTAGCAATAATAAAAAAAGAGTGTAGCTCTTTTTTTCAGGCTGGGGAGTTACTGGGATTTTTCTGCCTTTTTTCACCTTGGGTGTAAAGTCTGCCACTGGCAACTGAACTCTGATGTGTGAAAGTTCATTACAGTTCAATGGGGAAAAGACCAGGGATGTAATCTGATCAATTAGAACTTTGCCATCTACTGTACTATTAGAGCTAGCAAGTTTTAAACAGGATGTTTACCATTCTTCACTGTTTACCTTTTGCTCAGTATTTGTGAGACTTTCTATTCCTAGAACAGGAAACTCCACCAATGCTGTGTCAGATTGTTATTGCAGGTGGAAATATTTTTATAGTAGTCCTTGATGAATTTTTCCTTTTTTTTTTTTTTTTTTTTTTAGAAGTAGGGTGAGAATAATGAGGTAACCAGTTGGGTTTTTGTATGCTTAGCAGGACAAAGGTTCTGATTTTGCTGGCAAGAATTGTTTTTGCTGAGTGCATAAGGGGAGTTCTCTCATTCCCACTGCTGTTATTCCTTGCTCTGAAGTCTCTTAGGTACAGACTATAAGAGCAGTATGTGCATTTAAATATTGAACAAAATGGGCTTAGATTTTGGTGTCCTTTATAGTGTGTTAGTAAATTCCAGCATTTGATTATCCTGTCTATTCCATGGTTTTTTGTAGACAAGGCTCTGGATTGGACTAGACTATCTGTAGGGGTCCTTTTTACCTTCAGTTAATTTACAAATATACCAATTTCCTTTGAAGATGAAATTATAATCCACATTTTCTTTTAGTGGCAGGATGAGATGTGAACTTCACAACTTGTTTTTTGGGGTTAATCTTATTAAAAAGAGATGCTTCTTAATAATTTTTTTTTAATTACAGTCTGACTGCATTAGAAATAACTTATCTTCCTTCCTGCTCCTGCTGGAGGTATATTGGTTATATTCTGCATCAGGCTAGAAAGGGGCTGTCAGCTTTGCTGTGCCTCTGGAAGCTGAGATGAAGCTGCTGAACTGCTGGGCAAGATGGTGAACTGATGTTCTTCATTCAGTTTTCTTGGGAGTATTGAACTTTCCTGGGATAATCATAGAATCTTCTGAGGGACCCACAAGAGTCAAAAGTCCAGCTCCTGGCCCAGCCCAGGACAGCCCCAAGAATCACACCATCTGCCCGAGAGCATTGTCCAAATGCTTCTTGAACTCCTGTTTTTTCTTGAATGTTTTTCTCAAATGTTTTTCTCTTTTCAGGAGGTAGAACCAATAGACCTGCTGGCCTTCAACTCTGCTGCTGAGCTGGAAGCCCTGGGCTTAGAGAAGCTGAAGATGGGATTGATGTCTTTGGGACTGAAATGTGGAGGCACTTTGAAGGAAAGAGCAGCAAGGCTTTTTTCAGTGAGAGGTCTGTCTAGAGACCAGATCAAGCCATCCCTATTTGCAAAGCCCCCTAAAGGGAAAACCTCTGGTTAGATTTAGGAATATTTACCTTTTTTTGCCTGTGTATTTGATGTCATTAAATAAAAGCTCTTGGTATCCTTTCAACTGAGTATCCCCAGCTTCTGAACTCACATCCACAAGCTTTGTTAGCATCCCAAGGAGTTATGGAAAGGATGGACAGGTGGGAAGGATATCATCATAGACACAGTGCTTGGGGATCTGTTCCACAGTGTGTTGGAGGGAGAAGAGAAACACTGAGGCTCTGCAAACCACATCTCATGGAGGTTGTGACAGGACAAGTGGACTCTCTGTGGAAAGGAAATGGGTGTGTTTACTGACTGCTTCATTAGGAAACTGGGATGCAGGGGGCATGGGAGGTCACCTTAGCATGCTGAAGTTTTGCTGGTTTAAAGCCAGTGGCTGGGGATGTTAGATCTGGTAATCCCTGCCCAGGGGGCAAACCTTTGGTGTCACCAGCTCTAAAAGGCAGTGACAATGAGTGGGACAAAAGAGCCTTCAGCTCTCTGAGCACACTCAAGCTTCTCTCTAGTATGAGAAGGAGAGTGTGGGACAAAAGTGAATTGACTGTGTCAGTGGTGTGTTTTGGCAGCAACTCCTACCCAGGTTATTTCCCCTCACTGCAGTTGCTCTCTTGTTTCAGTTGTAGTGATGCAGTGACTTCCAAGCCATGTGTCACCTACTTGCCTTTAGTGTCGTGGGTTCCTTATTAAACCAAATCAGTTCCCTGATGTGGCTCTAACAAATTTTTGCCAGCACAACAGAAGCAGAACTACATAAAAACACTGGTTGGGATATTTCAAACCACCAGTAGCACCAAATACTATTGACCAACTGCATCTTCAGTAGTGCCAGAATTAAAAGAAATGCCCTACATCTGTCTTAGAGGGCAAGAGCTGTACCTTGAACCAGCTCCACACTTTGGCAAGTTTATTTGGGAATTGTTTAGCTCCTGCTGAGTTAAAAAAGGAAAAAGCACTTGCTCTAGGATCTTCCCACATCGAGGATTAGCCTGGAGCATTATTGTGTCTGGAGAGCCAGAGGGGTGCTCACTGTCAATTCAGGACTTTCACATGCTCAAAGGATATCCTTCTGAAAACAGCTGGGTAACAACAGGACTTGGACTGATCCTTCAACAGAAGAGAAACAAGTAGGTGAAGTGCTTGAGCTTTTTTAGAATTTGGACAAGAACAGAAAAGTCAACAGCTGGGAAAAAAAAATAAACTAACCAGTTCCAGTGTTACATGGGCTATTCCTGTAGGAGAGAATGGCATCGGAACAGAGGTGATCTTTCTAGTCCAGTGCAAGAGGATAATGCGGTTTGCAGCCTGTGTCTGTCTTTTCCTAAGTATTTATGCAGCTTTAGATTTCAAAGATGTTTCTGTTGTAAATGCACCAAAACTGTGAATATCTTTTCAGAGAAAAGATTCATTCTCCTACGGAATCACTTCCCCAAAAAGCAAGTGGTGCGACTTACAGAAGTCACACTTCTGAAGTGTCATTTTAAATGCATTTATTTCAAGCACCTAAGCACTGCCTCATGTTTCACTGACATTTCAGAGTTACCGACTGAAAAAAAGTAATGAGTGTAAACACTGGCACAAACCTGAGGGAGGGCTTTTCCTCACTTCATAGGGATCCATCTCTTCCCTGGAGATAAAGATGAGTACATCTAATACACAAAACAGCAAGGAACAGGACAGATCATTGAGGGAGCTGCTGGAGGTTTAGAAATATCACCACCAGCAGACACAAACAGCTGCCAGCCTTCAACCAGAAGCCTCCATTCCATTGTCCTCACCTGCCCGGTGCTAAGGAAAAAGTTCCTCAAAGGCCACTCAGTGATGTGAGCACGCCTTTGGCTGGAGCCTGCTGGAATTGCTTCCATCGGTTTGCCGGCTGCTGCAGTTTCTGCTCTGGCTGCTGTAGGTGGCACTGGACTGACGCGGAGGACGGGTCCGCTTCCAGCAGCGCTGCCGGAGCCTCGTCCCTCCGCACAGGGCACCTGAGCGAGTCCCGCGGGAGCTGCCGAGGAGCAGGGACACGGGCTCACCTTTACACCGTTCTGCCTGCTCCTGAAACAGTCGCAATCAATCCCTCTGATCCCCCCCACAACTCAGTCTTACCCAATATTTTGCTTTCCGGACAATGTTGGCATTTGAAAGGCTGGTTTGTAGTGATGCCTATTCTCGGGAAGGTGCTGGTTTTAAATCCTAAAGCTTTCCCCAAGACATCTGTGTGGCAATGGTAATGCCTGCACCCCAGCTGGCTTGCTTTGGTTATAGGGAGCGCTTGGGGTGGCTTTGCAGATCAACATGCCTAATGGCACCTGAAGGGAGGGAGGTGACAGCTCTGAGCTCACCCAGCCGTAGAGGAGGGGCTGGACAGGCACCGCTGCTTTCCAGCTCTGCTAGAGGCTGGGCTAAGCCAGGGTAGTTAGTCCGGGTTTAGAGGCAGCAGCTGAATGCAGGAGCTGCCTGGCCTGCTTCTCCCTGCTGCCTTCACTGGGTGCCTCTAACCTGGCACAAGGAATCAGGAATTTGCACAAAACTTGCAGAGCAGAGAGGAGCAAGGAGCTCTTGAAAGACCTGTCTGGGCTCTATGGAGAGAAGAGGAGTGTTTATAAGGAGCCAGCCAGCTTGTGAAACATCTGCTGGGGACATTACACACCTCAGCGAAAACACAAACAGGCTGCCCAGGGAGGTGAGTGAGTCACCATCCCTGGAGGTACCTGTGGGCCATGGTTTAGTGGTGGGCTTGGCAGTGCTGGGTTAATGGCTGGACTCGATGATCCTGGAGGTTTTTCCAACCTAAACAATTCTCTGAGGTCTGGTGGTTATAGATGGCACCTTATGGCCAGTGTGATGCTGTGCCCAGCATGCAGCAACTACCTGGCACCTCCCAAGGGTGACAGGGCTCCTGACCACTGGGCTGGAAGTTGGCAGTCACCTGGGAAGTAATGATCATGAACTGATTGCATTCATTTTCAGCAAACAGAAAACAGACCTTCAAAGGGAATACAGACATCCCAGGCTTCCAAAGAGGCAGATTTTTTCATAACTAAAATCAGAAGGAAATATGTAAACAGGAGACCCATAAATAAACTTTAGGACAAGCTTTAAAACAAAATTAATAAATAGCTTGGAAAAAGACCCAAACAAACGAAAACCCACCCTGATTCAATAGTTATCAAAAATAGAATACTGAGAGCTGTGGATTGCTTACATGACTTTCCAGTGCCCAACATCTCCAGATAACCTATTATCTCCTGCCATGGTTAAAAACTCTTTCTTGGCCATTCTGCACCTCCTGGTTTTACCACAGGAAACCAAGGCACCCCATCAGCTGTGGAGGGCCTGAGCATGTCCAGAGCATAGGCCAGAGGCGGTAGTCATGATGAGCTCTTTATTCTGTTTTATTCTGGAATGTGCTGATGTTGTTCACGCTGCTCTCCTGCACCTGCCCCATGGATGGACAGAGGAACCCAAGTACTCTAAAAACATCAAAGTCCCGCAGGACCTCTGTCAGACTCCCTGCCACCCCTATCAGCTCCCCACCCCTGTTTGCCCTCGGTTCCCCTTTCCCAGACTCCAGCTGTTGCCTGCCAAAGCCAGAGGAGCTCCCTGATTATCACCTTTGCAGGGATGTGGATTGGGCATCCGACTTTCGGCTTACACAGGCAATTAGGAGGCTGCCCTGAAAGGCAAAGTGTCAGACACCCTTGGTAGGAGCCTGTGAAGTGCAAAAGGGAAAAAACAAGAGAGGGAGAGGAAATAAGGCCTCACCAGCTGGGAAAAGCTGCAACTTCTCACAGATTTTGAAAGAAAATTGGAAAGCAGCTTTGATTTAAATGAAACCATGGAAAGATCACAAAGGGCAATGTAATCCAGCTAGCAGTGGCATTTAATGTGGCTTGAAACTTTTGTTCTCTCTCCTAGAACTGAGATAATGGCTAGAGATAATGGAGAGGGAAAGTGCTGTTGGCATTTCCAAGCCTCTCTCTTAAGGAAAGCTTTCCTGAGACTGATGGGACCAGCTCCAGACGCCGTGTCCAGCTCCATTAACCACTTCAGGCCCTTAGAGGTCACCCTGTGAGCACTGCCATGAGGCCCAGCCAGAGCAGGCACTCACGATAAACTCATGCTTCTGGTAAGATTTGGCTGCCACGCGAACAGAACGCTCACACAAGAGCCTAACCTGGAGTGTGGGACTAACAGGGCTCTTGAAGTCCTCCAGGTGAAGAGCACACACCTCCTGCTCCTTGAGCAGCACCTGGGTGCTCTGTGTCTTAGCAGTGCAGGAGGATGCCTGATGGTTTAACGCTGGCTTTGCCTTAAACAACCTTTCCATTTTTTAAAATAGTTTCTGGCTATATGAGGTTCATTACACCCCTGCACTACTCTTCCTTTTTGTTGTATTAGAGCACAGCATCAATGACAATGCTGAAGCACGCTGCTGCCAGGTATGTGAGATGTTCTGCCTTTCCTCAGAGACTGCTGCCGCTCAGACGGAAAGGAGAACATGACAGCTTGGCAGCTTTTGTGTGCATTACAAGTTGTACCCATGCAAGTAACACACAGAAGGTGTCACAGCAAATGCAGCCTGGATTGAAGATGACAGGCTGGGAGATAATTACCTGTAGCACGGGCTGATGTCTGAAGAAGTCCCAGGTGTGGCAGTATTTCATCCACAGCCTTCTGCCCAGGAGTTTTCAGTGTAGAAATCTCTGGAGCCTTCTCCACATCAGCCCAGCCTCCAAGTCTGCAACATTTTCATTGCAAAACCATCTGGAGTTTAGAGGAGTAGTGTCCTGTCTCCCCAAAAGTGGGGAGCTTCAATCCCAATGTAAATTCTAACCCAGCCCCTGCAGAGATGCTGTGACATCCGTGCAGCTGCGATAAATCCAAGTGTCCATGCAGGCAGCAGGGCAGGCAGGGCTTTGTCACTCACAGATTTGCACCCTGCAATTCCCACAGCTCTCCCCACAGCAACACCAGGTCTTCTTGGCCCCTGCCCTGCAGGTGTCACAGACATGCTCACAGACCCACCGCTCACTCCTTCTGTGTCGCTCCTGTCCGCAGGACACCAGCAAAGGCAGCCAGACACAAAGCAAGGGGTGCCGGACAGAGCCCAGGATCCTGGTGGAGGGAGGAGCCTCGTCCACGCCGCTGCTCCAGCGATGCTCTACTCCCCAATTCCCTCAACAGCCTGCCCCAAATTGCACTGCACGGAATTTCCCCTGGGATGGAGGATGAATGATCCAAGTCCAAGTGCTGGAGGTTGGAGGAAAGCCAGGGTTTATGCTCTTCTTTCTCAGGCAGCAACCAGCTCAAACACTTTCTTCCCCCGCTCAAACGCTTTCTTCCCAGGCTCAGTGTGTGGCTGGATCATGGGCTTTGTTCCTCGTGGTGATAGCTGAGCTCCTGGCCTTCAGGCTACGCCCTGCCCCGAGCTGGGTGGAGAGGACCTGGGGCTGAATGCCAATGCCATTAGGCAGATACATAGTCATGAGAAGGGAATGCCAGAGATCGTTCTGGCTCATCCAGCTCGGCCTCCAGCCACCCACGGTGCTGTAGCCCAGCGCTGGTGAATGGTGAGTCTGTGCTTTTGCTCTTGTTCCTCCCCTTAAAGCTCTTTTGCCACAGATATTTACACGAGTGAGAGGTGCCAGCCTACGCACGGGGTGACGGCAGAGATGCCTGGGTGACCTCAGACCTGGGGTCCTGCAGAGCAGCAGGAACACTCACATTTCCTGATGGATAACATAGCCACTGTATAGCCACTGCAGAGTCAAACAGGTCCTTCTTTTCCCTTCATCCATGGTCACCTTAACCAGGCAAACACATTTCAGAGTCCTTGCACCAGCAGCAGGTTCAACCAGAGCCTCAGGGACCACATTCCACCATCCAACAGAGATGGTCAGCAGCAAATGCTTCATCCCCAGAGCCACTGCCATCTCGGTGGGTTATGAGCCAAGCAGAGGAGTCTGACACAAAGGTGGAAATAATTAGCATGGGTGACACCGAGGCCAGCAGCTCAGAACAGTTCATAACGAGATTAAACCACATGATCATGGCGTTTCTCCAGGGTATGTCCAACAGGAAGGATCAGGATTAAAATGCTCCATACGGGCAGGAAGGGGATGGGAGGCAGCTCATCCCTTCCTGCACTACAGCTCCAGCTGACCCCTGCAGGTTCTGCCACCGCTGCGGCTCGCGAGGAGAGCATCACCTCCTGCTGGCAGATAAGATTCTAGGTTTTCTCTCTAAGAAAGTGTTGGTTTAAACTCCGCAGCAGCTCAGGATGAAGTGCAGGCTCTGCTCTGCCTGCCGATTCAGCCCAGCCCCTGGGGGAGCAGGTAAGATCACACAGGTAGCTGAGAAGAGCTGTTACTCTGTGTGTGTTTATAGGAGCTGGGCACTGGATACTCACAGAAGCATGACAGACCTTTTCCCCTCCACTTCTAGATGTAAGAATAAATATAAGCAAACATATGGTGACTTTAATACTTATATTTTATTGTTTCCTTGATTTTGGTGGCACACACAACTTGGACAATATCCCTAAATTGAAATAATTGTAATACAGAATCAGAAAAACAAACTGTTACTCACACAAGCAAGTCTTAATGTTCCTGTTGATTCCAGGACTCTAAATTCTGCTAAAACTGTGTGAAGCCCATGGTGCAGGGACCAAAAAAATAACCCTTTGAGTTTCAGATAATATTTTATGTACATGTGGATATGTATATGAACATGCAATACTTATGCACATAAATATGCTCCTTTGAGCTCTAGGCAATATTTTATGTACATATATATATATATGTAAGTAATCAATATGTAGCTATCCAGTATGTAGACAATACACACATTTATTCATACACTCTGTACATGTGTACACGTGTGTGTACAGTTTATATACATGTAAGTGCTTCTGCTCTCCAGCTCAACAAAAACACAGCTTGGGCAGACAAGGACCAAACCCAGCAGCCTAAGAACGAAAAGCTGAGCCCACGAATTTGTCCTTCACCTGCTGATGGGCACTCTTCTTTTACCTGGAGCTGTTTGCATTACTCCAGGGTGGGGGCTGAAATAAATTTAGCAAAATTTAGCTGGCACCAAGGAGGCCCCGAGAAGCACTAGGCTCCTAAGGTACCCCTCCCACATGTGAAATGCACGCTCCTCTGAGCCCATCTACACGGCCAGTGCCTCCAAGTGCTCTCTCTGCAGGGCAGCAGGGCCCCAGTGCAGGCAGGAACCCCCCGGACCTTCACCGCTGTCCCCGGGGCTGGGGGCCGGGGTGGCGCTTGGCAGGGCTGCAGGGGAAGGGCCACCCCCTCGTCACACCAGCGCCACGCCGTCCGCGACGCAGCTGCACCTCTCCACGATCATGTTGGGGAACTCGGCCGCCTCAATCTCCGTGTGGTTGCCCCTCTTGACCAGGTAGATGATGGGCAGCGCCGAGCTGCCGGCCACGGCGCAGGAGCGCTGGCCGGAGCCGGGGCGGCGCAGGGCGCGGGGCGGCTGCAGGCAGCTCCCGGAGCAGCGGAACGCCTGGAAACCCGCCGGCTCCAGGATCCAGTGCTGAGCCCACGGCAGCTCGCGGAAGCTGATGTAGTGCTTCTGCCGGCAGCAGGTGGATTTCCCCAGCGCCGCCTCCTCCCTGCAGTCCCCAGGGCTCCTGGACACCAAGGGAGAAACAGGAATGGGTGCTGCAACTGGAAAATGGGGAGTGGGAGAAATCGTCCCTGAGGCTAATAGCGTAGGTGGGCTCTGAGACATGAAAGCTGGGCCGTGCTCAGGGTTTGTTCGAGTATTCAGACAACAGATGTGGGAAGGGGAGAGGCGAGATTCAGCAGCAGCTTTCTAACTACTCCATTCACAGCTGGTGAACGCTGGTGAGGGTAAGAGCTGCCTATCCCGGGTTTGTCCTCTGTCCCCCAATAATTCAGGCACAAAATTACACCAGAGGCAGCACAGCTTTAGGTTTCATACGTACCCGTAGTCGTCCAAGTTGAGGGTGTAAAGCACCAGCTCAGGCTTGCCCAGGGCTTTGTCCTTGGGGTCCTGCGAGGTGAAGCGCACGGCTCTGGCCATTTCCGAGGCGTAGCTGCCCAGCCTTTCCCCTTCGATCCACACCTCCAGGAACATCGGCTCCCGCCTCTTGTTTCGCAGCCAGTAATGCACGGCCTGGGTCACATCAAAGCTCTTCCAGCCCGACTCACGAATAGGAACCAGCCTGCATGACAAGGGCTTGGCATTAGAAAAGCCCATCAGAAAAATCCCGGGCTCGCAGCGCTGTTATTGCAGCAGAATAATTTATTTCCTGTAGATTGTCACATGCCTTGATTACACGATCATTTTTGCTCTGGGCAAGAACCCACAGCAGTTAATTGCCACCTCAAAAAGAAAAATGCAGATCTAACAGACACTGAAGGGCCAGAAAAAACCCTCTTTACATGCTCATACAAAAAATTAGGTGGTGCAGGATCGTGTGCAGCCTCAGTATTGGTGACGACAGCCTGGTAAGCATCAGGTTCCCACCTGCTGCTGTCTGAGCTGCACTAAGGCCATAAGTTTACAGTCCAGTCTAGTTCTGCCTTCAAGGGTTGCAAAACTTCCACAGAGCTCACCATTACAGAATCAGATGATTTTTGCATAATTTACTTGTTTAAACCAGCTAATAAAATGGCCAGGGGAAAGAATACCAGCAGCCAGTACCCCGCTTGAATTAGTGGCACACAACTGAACCAGGTGGAGGATTTTGGAGAGGAAGATGTAGCAGTACACAACATAATTTCATAGATTATTTCAAAGAATCGTCATATATTGCCATCTCAGCATAATATCTGCTCTTAAAAGCTCATTCTGGGTTTAGAGGCCATATAACACGGTTGTAGAGATGCAAACTCCATCAGACTGAGCTGAGGCACAACCCATGACACCCAAATGCATCCCAGAGGACCTAAACTCTGTAACTCCAGCAGAGGCTCCTTTCTTACCTGGAATCTATCAGGGAGGTGCTGTTGGTACCATCGTGCTGCTGCTGCACCCAGTACACGCTGACCCTGGCGTTGGAGACGGGCCTGTGAGACTGCCTGGCAGGCAGGTTTGTTCTGTCCAGAGGCTTTTTGAAGAGTTTCAGCTCGGCCATTGTGACCTCGCTGTTTTTAGGTATTCTGCCTTCCATGTCAAACATCAGCTTCTGGCGTGTGGTTGTGTCGGAGTAGAGGACTTCCCCTGTCATACCTGTGCAGTTGGGGACAAAAAGGATGGACTGTCACTGCCACCCTGCTGAGAAAAGCTGCCACATTTCATGCACAATTATCATCACAACACACTCCTTCCATGCTCCCAGTCTCAGAGACAGCCACTAAACACACCTTTTCTAATGCATATTCGAATCAATGTCTTGCAAATGCCCTAATTATTCTCCTATGTCTGAGCCTCTGCAGCCTGGAAGAACTAAATCTCTGGCATAACATGACACCAAATTGAGCAGACCTCAAAAATTGTGCACCTCGGTGCCAGTGCTGGGCATGAAAGCAGGAAACTGCACCACTTGGAATGAAAAAGTATTTTCGTTTGCTGCCCAGGGTGCTGTGTATGCCCTTTGAAAGCACAATAAGCTCTAAGTGCCCTTGTACAGCCACTACTGTATCTGTATGGCTATTTTCCTCCTTGGTAATTTTTTCTGTAAAAAAATAACCTAAACAAAAAAGAAATGAGTGAGAGTGAAACATTCTCCAAGAGGTGTGATTCCTATTAGAGGACTTGCTGTAGATTTCACCCAAAACCTGCACGGCCTGCACTTTTTTTCCCCCTCCACCTGCCCAGACTGTTCCCAGGCTACCAAGGCTCCCATCAAGCTCCAGCAGCATCCTGTCCTTTGGAAGGACTGCGGGACTCCCTCTCCAGGTGCAAAGGGTGCCTGTTAATCTTTCCGATGCTGTTGCATGCACCTCCTCTGCCCAGCTGAGCTCTGGAGCCAAACCCGACCCTCATTCCCCTTTCCCCTCGGGGGTTTGCCTCTCCCCATGCTGCGGCCAGCCGGGAGAGCCCTGGCAGATTCGCTGGCGGCAGCAGGATGCTTGGGATGCTGCCAGCAGCAGAAACGTTACCTGTGTGTCCCGGGATCCCCCTGAGGATGCCAGCCAGGCTCGGCAGAGCTCGGCGCTTCACCCTCTGGCGCTTCAGCATGGACATGTACTTGTTCTTGACGTGGTCTGGGATAACCAGGTCCACCAAGTCTCTCGAATGAAGTTTAGGGACCTCGGACAGCCCCAGCTGCTTCAGCACCACCTCCTTGAAGCGTTCCTGGGTGAATGCCTGGACCGTGAGGATGAGGCAGAGCAAGCAGAGCATCCAGGCATGCCTCAGGTCCATCCTCCTCCGTCAGCAAAGCAGCTCCCTGCCCGGCAGAGATGAAGGGGGGGATCTCCCTGGGGTTGCTCTCGGCAGAGATGTAGAGATGTGCTGGCAGGCTGCCCGAGCTGGATGGAGGTCCCCGGTGCTGGGGTTTTATAGCCAGCCTCGTCCCACTGGCACAACAAATTTCACAAGTGGGGACGAAGCAGAGGACTTAAAAGGATCACTCCCCTGTTGGTAGACACATGCCAGTTTAACACCTTCATCCACTGCAAAGTTAATACAAGAAGGTTTAGGGGGCTCCTAGATTCCATCACGGGGAAGAAATTTCCTTTTTTCTTTTTTAATCCCCTGTAAATATTTGCCCAGAAGCCCCCTGAGCAATCGGTGTCCCCTGCTCAGCCTTGCTAGGGAGGAAGCACAACTGCAGAATACATTGCTTTATGTACTACACCATATGATTCCTAAAGGCAGCATCAATCTTTGCTGCAGAGAACTTGCCAATAACAATCAGGAGAAGCTTTACCTTTAGCTGGAAGTCCATTTTTATGGCAAGCATTGAAAAATCATTTTA